CAGTAGGCGGGGACCGGGTAATAGCCAAGTTTGATGCGAAAATTGAAAGAGGGTGTCGACGACTGTACATACACCGTTATCATTCACCGGACCGAGTTTCCATCCTATCCTATCGTATCCTATCCTACCCTAACCCTAACCTTCGCTACGACCCGGACAACCCTTTAACATCTTTTCAGCAGAAAAATATTGTGAAACTTTGCCAACAAAACAACTCGAAGCCCTACCCCCTCTCTCACTCTATCTCTCTCTCTCTCTGACTCTCTCTGTGTCTGGGCCAACTGTGAAACTTTTGCCAACAATGTCAATAGAATAGTCCCCCAGGGGGGTGGCGAACAGGAGCCACTATGACTAAGGGCTTTGTACCTATCAAATGATTTGGATTCTAATTAAATGAATGCCCCAAACTTTCCGACGAAAGCGAACCAAGGACCAGTATCTGCAACAAGGTCCTTTTCTATAACCGTCTTGGGAAGTATTCAACCTAACAACGACCCTTAGATCTTGAGAGGATTTCGTAATTAGGGTCCAGGCTTTACATGGATGATGTAATTTAATACAGTCGTGCGTATGCTGTTCTTTTTCGCTTTGTTTTGTTTTCTTTTAATACATATAATTGATACTAATTTATGCAAAAGCTTTTTAGTTAATTTATAGACTTTTAAGGCTTAAGTTAGCTGAGATAAACAAGAGATAGTTAGTAGTTTTTCTGTATCGTAGAGTGAAACCAACCTTCCTCCAGCACACGTAACTCAATCGCCGATGAACAAACAAAGTTGCCAATGAAAATCGCAAATCTCTAGAACGGCTAATACGGTTGTTGCTGTTTTCTGTGTTGGCGTTAGCTGGCAGCCTTCGCAAATCGGCGAAAAGCAAAAAGTTAATTAAACAGATCCCAAGTGCTGACCACTCAAGTGAGTTGTAAAGTGCGGCGGAGGGGGAGACCTGGGGCCTGTCTATGGGTATTAGGCTTTATCAGATGTGCATTCATTCAAATGCACTTCCTTTGGCCGCTCACTCAACGTCGACTTCCCGTTAGCACGCGGCTAAACTTGGCCAACACAGTCCCCGGACTGGATCGACCGGAGCTGGCCATCAGATACGCATCAGTGGCAAAACTCAGGCAACTGTACATATAGGAAAAAGTTGTATCTTTGTTATCTATATTAGTCATATTGCCTATATTAGTAATTATTTAGTCCTTTTTGACTATAATTTAGTATCAAGAAATGAATTTTCATTCTCAGTTAATCATTTTTATATTCAAGTTTATCTAATACTTTTCACTAAGAAAGACCATGTCATAGAGGCCTTAACTGTGGAACTCACTGCATTTAGAGGGCGACTAGCTGGAGCAGCGGTGCCATGAGGAAATGGGGAAATGCTTTTCCAGCGCGGCGACAGCTGCGTGGCTAATCCGACAGGCTAAACAGTTGAACAGTTGCCCCCGGGGGAGAGGTGCTGCAAAAGAAAAATAAAAGGCAAGAAAAAAAAAAAAGGAAAAAGAAAAGAAAAGCATTGTGCGCTGCATAATTGAAAAAAAGCGGAGAGGGAGGGCAAAAACATCGTCAGATAAACACCGTGGAAATGAAGGAAATGGGGGTGGTGGCAGAGGTGCGGCGGTGCCAGGGCAATTGCAAAAATAACAAAAGACAATGCCGGAGTGGCGACGTCCCGACGTGATGTTGGAAATTGAATAAAAATATGTATTTTTACTTATAAGTATTCCATATAGCCAACGTCAACAGCTATTTCCACCAAAGTGCACGCAACGACAAACGGTTGCTGCAGTGGCAACACCACCAATAGCAGCAACATCAACAACTGCAACATCTACTGCAGTAACACCTTCAAAGTTGATTGATAAAAAAAAGTGTTCGACTGTAAGTAAAATGCTGAGCTACCTTAATGGACGGGCGGACGGATGGTGCAGGGGGGTTTTGAAATAAAAGAGGGGGCTTGGAATATAAGAGGGAATTCTGAGGGGGGGCTAGGGCCTGACGTATCGAGTTGCTGCTCTAATGTGACAGCTCAATGCATTTTAGATGGCAATGACAAACTGAATTGGCAACAACAATAATGCTACCAGCAGCAGGAACAGAAATTGCAATTTATATATTTCTCAGAGTTACAGTTTGGTAAGAAAGTTTTTGGACATGTTTAGAAAACTAATTAAAATAATAAACTTTGATATAATATTATATATGGTTTAGTTTTCTTATTCTAATTTCTAATTAAAATATTCATTTCCAACTTTTTAGCATTTTAAAATATTCAAGACTATGTTTCGTATCCGATGGGTGATGACTTTTTAATACCACTGTTTATGCCATATCGTTCATTCGCACTCAATCGCACAATCACATTTAGAGGTAGCGCAAATGGGGAGAATTCTCGTACCGTCGAGAGTCATAACGTAATAAGGAACCTGAACGGCAGCGGATGGAAAGCTGGCAACAAAATCAAGAAAGAAAAAGACGAGCTGGAAAAGAAGAAAAACAGGCAACGCAACCGAAACTGCAACTGAAATGCTGCGCAAACAACTTTGAACGTCAATTTGTCAACTTGAAGCGAGAATTGAATGCAAAAAGCTTTGCGCCACATCGCTGACGTCGAGTCGTTTGCCCTGACGCAGTCCGTGCCAATTTTGGATGGGGTCTAATGTGCCTCAGTCACGCTGCAGTCCAAGTTATTTTTCGTGGATTTTAATGGCTTTTATTAATCACACAGCTTTAATGCCATACGTAATCAACTTCATTTAAGAAGGTGCCTTAAAAATTGCATACATTTTGGGGTAAATTTAGAATTTAAAAATGTATACCATTTAAACATAATTTCCTTTATAATGTTTTAATTTATTATGGTGTCAAGACAAATATCCTAGATTGCATCTTGTTCTTCAAGTTTCATAAGTGCACGTTATTATTTTATGAAAAGAAATATAATTTATGTACATTTAATAAAATAAGAAAAGGTAATTGGAAAGGAAAGCGCTTTACAAGTATCAAAAAGTTAAAGTTAAAGTTTTAAGAAATGCGCCTGATGGCAGGCAACAGGGCAAAGATTTTTGTTAAATAGATAGTCCAATTTGTCTTGTGGCAACTTTCTCTTTTCAAATATGTTTTTATATTAATAAAAGCATTTATGATTAATTAACTTGAAAATATGAAAGGATTGATTTATTATCAATGATTTATTATAGAATTATGATTATTTAACCATAGTGTAGGGTATACAATGGTCCATAAAACCGGTTTCATGGCGAGGTGCATGGAAATGTCAGCTTAATACCGTTATCGTAGGTGCGGCAAACACGTCGGAGCGACTGCGACGCTAACTGCAGCAGCTTGATAATGAGAGCCGTTAAGACGGACAGAAAGGAGAAGAAGACGCGAAAGCTTCCGCAATGTAAAACAGCTGTGCGAGACAGAGATGAAACGATTGTGCAAGGCGAAATGCAAAACTGATAAGAAAAGTCCGCTTAAGTTGCTCTAATTATGTGTGTTAGTATGAATGTTTGTAGGTGTGTGTGTGAGTGTTCGTATGAGACATCGAAATTCGGTGAAATTTTATACATACAACAGATTTCCCACGTGGTTTTAGGACACGCAAAGTGAAGAAGAGAAAGAGAGATATTTGGTTTCGATATGCGGGGGAGAGGTAGAAAGAGTGAGTGCAGGCAAATGCAAAAACAAAATGTTGCCTACGTGAGCGACAGCTCACTCCATACCTCTCCCTCACACTCTCCACCACCTTCTCATGCAAGCCTTGCGATTAACAGGCACACAAAAATATATCTTTGTAAGATCGAATATTTGTATACTCTAAGGTAGGAATATCCACAAACATGTTAAACTTTAGTGCATTGTAGTTATAATGGTTAATGGTATATATTTTTAAATTAGCATTACATCTTTGGAAAGATTAATAATTAACGGGAATAAAATATTTTAAAAACAACTTTTATAATATTGTGTGTTCTTGTATACCTCATTCTTCCTTTAATTTCAATTCCACATACTCTATTTGAAGGGTATAATGAAACAGAATATGGAAGAGACAAAACCGAAAAAGTCCAAAATTCTCAGTGAAATGCAATTCCTTTTTCGATTCTTGTTCTGTTATTTTGCTGACTTGCTAAATTTGTTACCGTGTTTTCGAGCTTTCAATTGTTGTTCTTGTTTTTATTATTATTTTCGCTTTGTCCAACAGAAGCAATAATAACAACAACAACAAAAGCAGCAACGACAGTGGCAACGATAACAACTTCTCAACCGTGCTGATGAGAGAAGCACGAGTGAGAGAGGAAGAGGGCTAGTGAGAGGACCAGGCAGCAACAATATTTACAGCTTTAGCGGCCAAAAGTACAGTGGGCCTAAGGTTATTTATAAGGAGTCCAGATAATGTTTTATTTTGCCTTACATAATCAGTATTCCGAGACACACACAAAAATGCTCCTAGGTAATTTAGAATGGGGTTACCTTTATTGCATATATGTATTTATAGGCTTTAGTTATTTCTTAAAATAAATACAACTTCTAAACATTTTGTCTTATGAACATTTCCAATGTTATTTTTTGAGACTAGTTTTTAATTAATAAACAGACTTATTACGAAGATACGGCAAACTACAAATTTTATTTCTTAGCTAGTGTAAATTAAGTACATTCTATTTTTCATACCTCTTCAACGTGCAACAAGTGCACTACATTTGACACACTGTGCCATGTTTTGCTATTTAAAAATAGGCTTTTGCTCAGATGACTAAGTGTGTGTGTGCTCGTTGGCTTCCAGCATCTCATGGTCGCCGCCGTTTGGCAGCGGCTGCCACATGCGCAAAGCGATCGTATCGGACCCACTGTGCAACGTGGGGCTGTTGACGACAGCAGCAGCAGCAGAAGCAGGCACTCGCAGCAGCAGCAACGATCGCAAGTCGCGACACGAGCAAAGCGAACGGAAAGGTGTGCTGGCCAGAGAAGGCGGGGGAGCGAAGAGCAAGTGACGAACTTACGGCCAACAGCAGCAGCAAAAGCAACAACAACAACAACGGCAACCGGCCCGTTTGGAGCAGCGCGCATGCCACACACAGTTTAAATATGTGAAATTAGTACAAATCGTGATTTCAACAGCGAACGACGAGCGGCGAACGAGCGTCGACGAAGTGGCGACAAAAAAAAAGCACGAGCGAGCAGCAGCAGCACTAGCATTAGCCAGAGGCAACAACAGTGGCAGCCACAGCAGCAACATATGATAGAAACCAGCAGCACAAGTCACCTCAGTAAAAAAAGAAACAAAGCACAAGTGATAACAATAACTGGAATATCGAGCGATACAAGAAGAAATCAGAAGAAACAACAACAGCTGATGCCACAACTGCAACATTAAGCGGTAACATACTACAAACGATCATTTAATACAAGAAACGCTATAGTAGCACCAACACCAATAAATACACCTGTTGAAAGAATAAGAATTAAAAGTAGAAACACCTATTGCAGGTTGAAACAATTACACCAACACTTAAACAATAATAATAAAAAAAACACGAACAGTCACTGAAACTAAACTTTGCAACAACTATAGTGTTCGTTGGTGTGCTCTCCCCAGTGGCAACAGCAACAACAACTCACATCGCTGGCGGCAGCAATAAAACAGCTGATAGCAATAGCAACAACAAAGCCTGGCATTATCAAGCAAGCAACAACAGGTCGCGAAAAAAAGAAGAAAAAACAAAAAGCCCGCCTGCTGCAGCACTCACATAAACACACAGGCACACGCAAATAGAAGATTGGGCGTGTGTGAGAGAGAGAGGCAAAGTCGCACACCTTTGCGTTGATTTTGGACGTCGCGACACGCTCATTCAAGCTCTCTCTCTCCCTTGCCTTCTCTCTCTCTCGCACAAAGTGCAGCTGAGCTGCTGCCGCCTGCGCCGCCGCTGCCGTCGCCGCCGCACTTGCCGCTGCCACAAATACAACACAGCCCAGCTGAACGAACGAACGCTCAACGCTCGCCGCCGCCGCCGCTGCCGCCAGTCGAAAGTCAAAAGCAACGTGTTGTGGACGCTTTTTTACGTCGCGTCGTTGCCCGTTGCGTTCTCTCTCTCTCACTCACTCCTTTTCCTATCACCACCCACCAACCAACCAACCAACGGATCGACCAACCAACAAACCACCCACCCAACAACAGCAACAACCCAAACACTATCCTCCCCCCTCTTTGGCAGGCTGGGAAAACTTTCACCACAACAAAAACAACAACAACAATGTCCAGCAGCGCAGCCGCAGCGCAGTTCAAGCTCGATGCCAACTCCAATGCCATTGCTTTAATAGCTGATGTTGCCACGCTGCCACTCCCACTTTCGCCCACTGCAACAACAATAGCAACAACACCAATAGCAACACCAGTGGATCGCGTTGAATGGTCACGCTCAACGATCCTGAACTTTATCGAAGATTATCGGAGACAACGTGTCCTTTGGGATCCAAATACCAAAGGTTATCACATCAAGCAAACCAAATACGAGGCACTCAAGCTCTTGAGCCAGAAATATGGAACGGAAATCCGATCGATACGATCGAAAATCAAATCCTTACGCAGCTCCTTTCATCGGGAACATGGCAAAGTCCTGAGTGGACGAGGTCGTGGCGTAATCTATCAACCCATGTGGTTTGCCTACGAGGCCATAAGATTCATTCTCGATGGCGAACGGGATCAGGATCATGGTCAGGATCAAGATCAAGATGCTGAAACGGAAACGGAAGTAGATGAAAAGCTAACACTAATGCATAGCTTGGATTTGGAGCAACTTAAGGCGGATAAACTGGTGGATAGAGACATTATACTACAGGTGGAACAACAACATCAGCAGCAGCAACAACACGATGAGCTTACCGCTCGCATTGCGGCCACTGTGGCCGCCGTTGCTGCTGCTGCAGCGGCAGCAAATGCTCGGGAGCGGGATGTGGATACCGCTGGCGGTGAATTGGATAACGCTCGGGAATTGGAACTCGAGGAGGCGGCGGCAGAGGGCGGTGGTGCTTTACTCGAATCCTCCTCGGCGGCTGTGGTAAGTAGTGTTTAAGTTTTTTAATGGCCAACCTCTACCTCTATTTTGCATGTGGCTCTCGGCCTGTATATTTATTTATTTGTTTTTTTTTTCCTTGTTGCCCATATTTCTTTGGAGCTTTGCATATGTGTGTGCGCGTGTGAGTGCCAGTGGTTTGACTTGTTTTGCGGCACCAGGCAGCACACGCGCTGCTGCTGTCGCCTCCCGCCGCCGCAGACGTCGCTGTCTAGCGGTTCGTCAACGGCAGCGGCGCAACCGGTGGCGCACAGTGGGGCGAGTTTTTGAAGATACCCATAAGGTGGTCTAAGCTTTTCTAGGTTACTGTGAGGTGTTGAAAACCAAATAAATTTCGATTATTTTATTTTAAATTTTAGAGCAAACATGTCGTTTGAGCAAAATTCACATGGCGTATGAGTAATGTTTGAAAAATTTATAAACAGTTAAACTTAAAGTTATGTCTAGTCTAACTCAAACTAAGCCCACTGTGCGCGGTAGCAGCTATTGCGTTGCGCTTGATAAGCGAGTATTGGTGTTAATGTGCCAATGTGTGTGTGTCAACTGGCTTTGATTTGCGCTGCCGCTTCTGCTATACACACCGCCATACCTACATATATCTATAATGCATACACATGTGTGTTGCATCAGCCGTAGAAATCGGCGGCCCCACGTTTTGCACCAACCACGCCCCACAGCGCCCCGCATCAATGCTCTGCCGCCCCCGAAGCAGCAATAGCTCCAAATATACATATATTCATACATATATACATACATACATACATACATACATACATATGTACATGACATTATAGCAATATAGCAAGTTGCTGGACTGCGTTTTGTTATTGCTATGTTTGCCTCGTCCACTCGTTCGGTTTTACATTTGATTCGATTCTCTCCCGAAAAAAAGTACGCGACTTTTGGGCAGAAGCTCTTCCAATAATCGAGGAACTTCAACTGCCAAAGCGAGCTTTCTCCGGAGCTTTAGAGAAGTGTTTGCAATAATGCCCAGTAGCTAGTAATAATCATTTTATGACGGCAACTAACTCTTAATCGAAAGCTTTTTATGATTATCTAGATGAAGTGCGCCTTTTAATAGATAATTACATTGTAATGTTAGTAAGTGTAATATTACACTGCAATAATCGATAAAAATATCGATTTTAACAGGACTGCAGCGTCTTGCTTAGTTTTTAAAGTTGTAACAGTTTTTTTTTTGGTAATAAGAAAGGACTCTTCTAATCTACTACCACCTTTATCATGAAACATTTTAAAAACATTAAATAATTATTTTGGTAATTGAAAGTACTAATAATATTTCCTTTACATATTATACAGAATAGGGTATTTCCTTGTCGTTTCTACGAATATTTTTTCCCATCTCTTTTATTATTATTCGTGTTTCTTAATATTTTTCTGTTGGTCACTCGTCTCACGTCTGTCGGTGTGTCTGACCACCAGTTGGTCCACTTCGATGTTGACTTGGCTGCTGTCCGGCCCGTACAGAGCTCCTAAGCCACGCCCCACCCCCTGTCCGGTCGGGCACCTTGTACCGCCGTGACTAATTTAATCGCCAGCGGCTCGACTGGCGAGTCTGCATCGACTTTTGTTTGTGTGTCTGAGTTTGCTTTTTATTATTATTCTAATTTGTTTTCTATTTCTCTCGCGTTTCTCGCTTTGCGTCTGCTGTTCACTAGTATTATTATTTTTATGATTTTTTTTTTTTGTGTTGTTATTTTTTGTTATTATTTGTCTGGCAAATTCTCCACACAGCCATAATTGTATTTGCTGTTGATTCTACGGTCTACGCTAATTCCCGATTTTTTTGTTCGATCTTCGCAGACACGTTCCTCTTCCGATTTGGATGGCGAGAATTATTGCAATATCAGCGCCGAAGATGTGAAAACAGAAATTGTAAGTACCCCCTAAAGCTGATTGTTAATCGCACTTTAATTTGTTTGACAGGTTGAAGTATGTAGGTACTTTTTTTTTTTTGATTATTTTAATATATTTTTTGAAGTATTATGTCAAAGAGGTATGTGGGTGTAATTAGAGAATCATTTCTGACATGAGATTGGGAAACAAAATCAATTTTGAATAATGTACTTTCAATTAGTAGAAATAACAATCATTATTTGGAGTACTAAGATTAATTATACAAATATGGAATTATAATAATTGAAATACTTTTTAATTTATTAAAGAAAAAAGTAAATAAAGTACAAAAATCATAGTAATTTTTTGATTTATATTAATATTTAGGTCATCTATATATTATAGATCCACGTGTAGACGTATATTCTAACCCCAATGATCTAATAAGTTGGTCAGTTATTTAAGACTTAAACACTTTTCTTGTTTTTCTGATTACAAGCTTAAAAGCAAATAATAAGATTAGATTTCTAGTTGATAATTCGACTCATTTGATAAGGTAAACAGTTTATAAAAGTCTGTAACTAACTTAATTCGATGACGAATCTTATCAATTTATGACGTTCACCGCTTGCACATTGACCACCACCATTGAGACTTTTGAGTTTCTGAAGGTCATTGGTGTTGCCAAGTCAGATATGATACATCCCGTTTATTTCCCATGAATGATAAGCCAAAGGAAATCAAATGCAAGTGAGTCAGTTCACTTTGGGCATTTTTTTTTTTGGTTTTAAATTTAAATTTTGATGAAATCATGGCAGATCATTTCCTAATAATTTTTGCTGAGATTCCAAAATAGCTTAGCTATCACTTTGTCACACTTTCCCAGACAAGGTTGTGCCCGCTGAAATTAATTAAATGACTCGCCTTTGGTGGTGGCTTATCAAAGCAGCCACATGTGTCCCAGTTCCCTTCCTCCTTCTCACTCTTGGCAAACCTATGATTTGTTTATTTTTATTAGCGGTATACTGAGTGATGCGCTTGTCTAGTAAATAGTTGATGAAACAACGCAGCGTTGATTTCGTCAGACATTCATACTATATAAATATATAGCTAAGGGAAAACAGGTTCCGGTTTTTTTTTTTTGCTTTGACGGGCCCATCTTTAAGCTAAATAATAATATATAGGGCTGATGAAATATTCAGCTGATTTACTTGGTCAGGGGAAGTGCTCATCCTTCACTGACTTGTCTAGAACGCTGAGGGAATTTCAATTTTATTTATTTCTGTTCAAAGTGGGAAATCCACATCTTTGGGTTAAGTTAAGGCGACTCAATTGCACTATTTTGTTATATTAAAAAATAAGTAAATATAATTTCTTAAGTATAAATCACCTTCTTAAGTAAAAATCCTTGATTTGCTTACATTTTATCTTATGTATTTTTCTATTTTAAGTTTAAACCTATAATAAAATAACTTTTAGCACCCTTTAAGCTACCCAAAAGTTATATCTTTAACTATATAATTACTTTTAAGTCCCCTACAAAGTTGCTATACTTTGATTTTATAGCTTTTTTTTAGTGTATGGCAATAGATTTATTGGCTTCGAATTAATGGTTTTCAACGCTGTCTAAAACACAACCGAATTTTTCCTCTTTTCTTTTCTTCTCTTCTTTTTTTTTTTTTTTTTTTGTTTTTGCTTAACCCCATCAGATCGAACACGAATCGGAGCTGGGGATGCTGGATCGGCGGACGAGCACGCCGTCGCCCATAAATTACTACAAGCCGACGGATCTAACGTACAACCACCGCAAACGCAAGGCGATGGGCGTGGAGCACGTTGTGGGCGCCTTGACATTGACGCCCATCAAGACGGTGGGCGGTGGAACAGGCGGTTCCACTGGCCATCATCATCATCAGCAGCAGCAGCAGCAGATGAACCACAACCAGCTCGCATTTCAGGCGCTCCAGCAGCACTTTAACCACAATCACAGTCTTAGCCTGAGCCACTGCAACGGGCAACCGCAACAGCAGCAGCAGCAGCATCACCATTCGTTGCATCTGCAGCAGCAACAGCAACACCAACAACATTCCAGTAACATGGCACAAAAACGTGATCGTGATCGTGATCTCTCAACGTCAAATGGCAACGGCAACGGCAGTAACTGCAACAACAGCAGCGGCAGCAATATCGCCAGCCAAACCAGCAACACCTCACTGGACCCAACAGCAACATCCAGCAATTGCAGCTTGAGCAGTAATAGTGGTGCCACGCCTCCAAAACTGCTTAACGGAGGCGGTGGTCTGAGTGCCAATCATGTAGATGAATATGGAGTATTCGGGGAATATGTGGCCATAACCATACGCAAACTGAAGACATCCAAGTCGAAGATAGTGGTGAAGCATCTTATCAATAATCTCCTGTACGAAGCTGAGTTGGGTAAATATGATCAGGGGATGCCGGCCAGCAAAGAGCCACCGCAATTGTATAATATGCAATGAAAACTAGGATCAGGATTATATATATAGAGAGAAGATAAATCAACCCAAAATATAGACAAACTATCGAAGGGGGGGGTAATGAGACAACCAACGCACTAGTCAGCAAAGCAACAATGGGTCAAAACCAGAGCCAACAATTCTAAAAAAAAACAAAAAAGGGGAGGGCAGCGGGGGATGTGTGTGAGCATTTCATTCAGGGACAAAGACCATATAAGTACTTTATCTATATACATTTATAAAAAACAAAAAAAAACACATAAACGTTATCAGTGAGTGTTAAACGAAGTCAGTCAAAGTCAAAGGAAGTGGCAGTTGAAGTGGAAGGGGTGAAACAAACATACCATTAATTAAATTCAATTAATTATTAATAACGTTAACTGATATATACAAAGTACGTATATATTTTACGTTTATATATATATATATATATATATATTTTATGATTATCGTTTTTTTGATTTCACGAGCGTTATATATTTTTGATTTTCGTTTTATATTTTATACTTTTAATATTTACATTTGGCAATAACACACTTTGAACTCAGGTGCCTTTATTTTTTATAGTCAATTAAGCCTTGTTATCTTTATGCATAAAAAGTGAAATGCAAAAAAGTTTACAATAAATGAAGCCCTAACAACATGTAAATTTAATTAACTTTTTTAAAGCATAAACTTAATACTGTAAATAGTTTAAAAAACAAAGAAAGGAAAACTAAGGATGAGAAGAGAAAATAATGAAACATGAAATGTGCAAATCTTAATTTTTGTTATGCATAACTAATTTGATATGAGCAAAGGGCTCTAAATAAAATCCCGAAATGTTGAAATTCATTTTGAAAATGAAAAAAAGTTTCTGTTATTATTAACTTATGGGAAATGTGGGTAAGTGTTTTATTTATTTACATAAAATTGGAATAAGAAGATAAAAAAGAATGCTTTTTAGTTTGGTTTTTACCACTTTATCTGTCATTAAGGCTATAGATAGATTATAACCCAATAAAATCAACCTTTGAAGTAACTTCTAATCATCAAACATAGACTAACTTCAATCCTTTACAACCCATCCATGTAAAAGGGTTCGATTGTGTATACAAAGTATTGCCTAATTATACCAACTATCAGCCCTATTGAGTAACCAACATTCAGAACAATGAAGCTCGTTGTTGTTCGCCTTCGAGGTGATTATTCACATTTACATTCTATATACTATACCCGTCGAGGGTCTTGTCCATAAATCACAAAAGCTCTCAACTGTATCCAAGAACTAGGCAGCCCCACTAGGCGGGGCAACAAAGCAAACATTAATTGCTAAATAAACAATTCAAAAATATACAAAATAAAGATAATAATTAGTTTATGTTTTTTTTAGGGAATTTTGTTTACTTTTGATTTTTATAGCCTTGGAAATGGTTATTATTTCTGATATTTCCTGATGTACTACACTTTAGATCTTCCGATTAAGCTTTAAGTTTGTTTGGTTTGACTAATTTTTAATGGCTTTCTAGGGTTGGATTTTCATCATCATCGCAATTGGTTGAGAGTATCGATGACGCAAATTGAATAATCAACTTTTCACATCTATTAACCAAATGGTTATTAATTCATAATTAACAACATTTAAGCCCTGCTAAAATGCTATATATAAATAGTAAATGACTGAATAAAATGACAAATAAAGAATATTTTATTAATATTTATTTGCGTTTAACAAATATTCTTTGTAATATTTGTGAAAAGCTTCAGGTTTTCGTTTACATTTTCCCATACATCTGCGATAAATGATAAATTAGTTGCCTTTATATAGTCTGTTTGCACTGTATATGTACATATAGTGTGTGGTGTTAAAAGTGATAAATGGAGCAATATAATGCCAGTGCTTAAACCCATTGATCCCCCCCATTGACGTAGGTTCTAGCTGTTTTAAAGGAAAACCAGCAACCGGCACCTACTGCTTTTAGCTGATCAAAGAAAAGCTATAGTAAATATTTACCCTGGAATCAGTTTCGAAAGTAAATACGATTTTAAGACGATACACAATGGTCTCAACGCTTCTATAGTATCAGTAGGTTATTTAAGGTCGTTGCTAATCATCTTTTCTTAGCCAGCCCTCTCGATGGTTAAATAATCTCTTTAAGTAAGGGAAAACATTCTGTTGCTGCTGCTTTAAGAAGTCGCCCAACTGTCTGAAAATGCAGATTACGTTCAGCCAAAGAGCTCATCCAATTATAGCTCATTCCAAAGGTTCCTCTTGCGGATGTGGCATAGATATTCCAAAGCATGCAACTTGCACTAAATGAACTCGGAAAGTTGAGGCAAGTAGTTTTAATATTACATGGGGAGGGGGAAAAGCACTTTCTAGTAAGGAAATTTTCAGCTTTTTAAATTTTTCAACATTTTTGAAGATAAAAGTATTTTATAAACTAGGCAAAAGAAGTAACTTTTTATTTTTAAAATTTTTTCAAAAATTAGACACTTTTTTATAAAAACTTTTTAATATTTATTTTATTTTTCTATATTTTTTGAAAATTGTTTAAGACGTCAATTAATTAGAAAAAAGGCTAAAATCAACATTATAAATCCAAAAAAAAATCATAAAAAATAAAAAAAGGTTAAAAAAGGTTTAGAAATTAACTTTTTATATCACTTACATTACTAACAACATTTACAGCCTTCCAAAAATACTTTATTAATTGCCTACCCACTAGTTTTGTGTAATTTCCTTTACGACATGATAAGTATCTCGCGTTGTGTTTGTCGTTTTATCACAACTTTTGACGAGCTGCGTCTACAAGTAATCATGGCAAGCAAATATCAATCATGTTCAGGCACACAAACCCCCTATATATGACTTTATATATGTATATATATAGACATATAATATATACATACGTGTCAGTAACCACACTGCCTTCCGATACAGACGACATCCCCAAGTTCAGTTCGTAGAATTTGCTCAGTTTTTCTACGAATCCAACTCTCGATCGTCGTGCTGCCACTTGGTCTCTGGTCTGTTGTTTTTACAGCACAGTGGCGTCGTTTTGCAAGGGGATTGTAGGGGGACGTTTGAGTCAATTGGCTTAAAGCTTGCCATCTGGAAATGACGCAATGTTTTCGAAAACACATCAACATCAACACCCGACTTGTCGGCTGTCGTTGCCGTTTTCTGCTGCTGTTGCCATTGCTGTTAGCTATTTTTTTTGCTTTTGTTTTTGTTTTGCTCGCTGCGTTTCGTTTCGCTTGGCAAAATCAACAATAATAGCAATAACAACAACAAAAGCGATTACAATTGTTAATCTATATAGTATATATAGTCGCATATACAAACATAATTTGTATACATATATGGTACATCTAGTAAACTAATGATAAATTTTAGTCGCGTACTAAACAATAAATGGGAATGATTTTTACACTGGAGAAAATTTATGCTACTCAATGATCAAGAAACATCATATGCAAGGTTCTGTTGAAGTTTTATCTGTTTTATCCAAAAAATGTATTTTCTTTAAAAAATTATTAAAAATTTCACTAATAAAATTTGTTTTAAATATTTTAATTTGATTAAGTTATCAATTATCCATACAAATTTCTTGTTTTCAGTTTATTATTATCCAAAATTCTTAAATCTAGTTTCAGGAAACATTTTTCTCAGTGCCTTAGCTAGTGCCAAAAGAGGACTACGACTTTAGCTTTAATGTTGCTGCTGTTATTGTGGCAACTATTGTTGCTGTTGTATTGTCGGCACTGTTATTTACAAGTATTGCTGCTTTTTGTTTCTCTTTGTTGCTGTTGTTACTTTTGTTCGTACTGTTTTTCTTTGTTGCTTTTGCTTTTGGGTCTACAAAGCTATTGATGTTGTCTTGTGCCTGTAGTGTTGCTGTGGTTGTGGATGTTTCTGTTGATGTTGCTGATGGTTTTGTGATTTTACTGTTGTTCCTAATGTTGCTATTGCTGGTGGTCTTGTTATAGATTTTTTCTCTTTATGCTGATGTTGCTCTAGCTAACAATGTTGCTGATGCTTCTTGGATATTACTGTTGTTCATGATGATGCTATTGCTGGTGGTCTTACTATAGATGTTGCTGCTGCTTTTTGAATATTACTGTTGTTCCTAATGTTGCTATTGCTCGTGCTCTTACTATAGATGTTGCTAGTGATGTTGCTCTAGTTACTTATGTTGATGTTGCTATTGTGATGTTGCTGATTGTTACTTATGTAGCTATGGCTATTGCTTCTGCTTTAAGCGTTTATTTTGCTGTTGGTGTTGCTTTTGTTCTTGTTATATATGTATGTTGCTGTTGCTATTGATGTTGCTTTGCCTTACTAATGTTGCTTTTGACTCTACCATTTAGCTTCGTAAAGTAGCTGCTGTTGTTCATATTTCCCTTACCATTGCTGATATTTCGCTCTGCTGGCAGAGTTGTTTTTTATTTTTTGTACATATTCTTATCTTATAGCTTTACTACATCTGTTAATAATTCTGTTATTGTTTTGTTTTAGTTGTTGTCGTTGCTGTTGCTGTTGTTGCTGCTGCTCTGGGGGCCCCATGTCAGCAATCAACAGTTTGCCATAAATTATTTTTGCAAAATGCTCACGCTCCAATGCGACCCCAGGGAGTCAGTACACACACACACACACTCAATAATATATATATATATACAGTACATAGTATAGTATATATGGAGAGGGAATGATAAGCTGGGAAACACATATATATGGTCCCATTGCGATTGTCGCGCAATCGAGCATTGAGCAAGTCCCCCAGCTAAGCCCCATCTCTCATCCCCAACCCCTTGGCAACCCCATTTTCCAACCCATTCCCAGTGCCTCCATTGTGTTGTTTAGCCTCTAAGAATATCTCCAGCCAGTCAGCAAGACAGATAAAGATAATAGTAACAGTAACAGTAATAATAATAATAAGAACAGAGAAAAGCCAATGGAAGAGCCCCGCATTTGTCACTGGCATGGATGGGCATTGGGAAAGGTTGGAAAAGTGTTGTAAATCAATTAGGCAAAAGCCTTCGCCGCCAGTTCAAAAGTAAGCCAACTTACTGCGTAATACACAAGGGGAAATATGGAATTATATACTCGTTTATATATGTATTCCATTAACTGATTCATTTTCACTTATCAATTTGACCATAAATCATATTTATTTATCATAATTCGAAGATAGCAAATCAAATCTATGTTAATGGGGGAAAGGAAACTGCATTAGATTTGAGGTTTTCAAATAAAATATAGATATAAGAAATCCATTTCTTTCAGTGTAAAAATACCATAAAAGTAGCCAAGTCAGGGGGACATGCAGCATGCCATTATGATTTATGGCTAAGCAAAATGCACAAATGCTGTTCGATCTGCTTTGGGGATTGCATCCATCTCCTGGTCGTAAATAACCCAAGCCGGAACCCTAGAAATGGCCAACAGTAACTGGCCAAGCTAGCTAATTTGTTGCCCTAATGGGGCACCAATCAGGTGAGACGCAGATGGGAATGGCTGCTACTGTCCATCTATCCTAGATACATTCATAAATAAATCTATTTTCGATCGAAAGGAAGTCCTGGCCAAATGCAATTTATTACCAAAATGTTGACGTATTTAAGACTTCTTCAGCATTTCCTTTTAATTTTCTTTTCTGAAGGTAA